TGCGGGGACCGGGCGCGAGCTCCCGGCGGAGGGGGCGACTAAGAAAGCGGGAGACTGAGGCTCAGAAATGGAGAGGGGGGGGCTCAAGGAAACGGGAGGGCTCCCAGAAGGAGGGGACAGTTGGGACCAAAAGAGCGAACGGATGAGAAGACCACAGGGAGAGCTAGAGAGCGCCAAGGGGCACCAGGAAAGGAGAGGCCCGGAGGGTCCATCACGAGGAAAACAGAAGGGCAGCGGGAGGCTCGAGGGGCCACGAGCCTCAGGAGACGCAAGCGAAGGAGTAGCCCTGGTCTGCAGGGGACAAAGAGCGATTGAAGGGCGGGCGGAGCAAGGAGCGAGGAGGGAGAATAAGAAAGAGGGTTGCAAGGGAGGAGAGAGGAAGGATAATGAGGAGTCTACTAGACTCAGGCTTCGAAGACCTTAGGGTCTGGGAGACCCGGGGATCATTTGCCTGCCAGGGTGTCCCACAGGATCCCGAGTACCGAGAGCAGCTGACTCCTCTTTTCTGGCTCAGACTGTTCCCTGGACCGCCTTCTCCCAGGATTTTGAACCCCTGCTGTTCCTCTGCCCCTTCCTCACCGAGTTCCAGGCCAGGCCGCTTTTTCCTGGGGGCTCTTTGCTCCATCTTCTCTGATCAATCCCCTTAACCCTGCTTCTAAACAAGGGAGAAATGGGTGGGCACCCCCACCTTATTCCTCCATGCTGGACAAACACATCCCTGGGTGGTGAGCCCTTTTCCCAACCCCTAGGAGGGGAAATAGACCTCCCTCAACTCCTCCCCCACCCTCCAGCCTCCTCTGGGGGTCCGCGAGTCTTCTCCATCGGGTTGTATGAGGCGCTCCTCTTCCTCGAGTGCAGTAAAGTGTTTGGGTTGCATAAACTGAAATATGTCTGCTCTCATCAAAATATTTGTCACATTATTTGAGGCCCAGCTAGCTACTCCACTGCTCCTCCTTCACCCTCCCTTACCAGCCCACCAGGGAGGGCTCTGCCTTTCAGAGGGCTCTGCCTTTCCCAGGCCTCTGGCTGGCTGCTAAAGAATGACCCCCAGCCTCCTTCTTCCAGCCCACCCGCTGGCCTTCCCTACCCAAAATTGAGATTGCTTTCCCCTGCCCAGGGCTAGGAGGGAAAGGACGGTTGTGAGAGGACCCTCCACTCACTGAGAGCTGCCTCCAGGTATAAGTGGCCCCCGCCACCATGGAGAAAGGTGGGGGGATGATTGGCTAAAGAGCATTTATTCAGGGCTTACAGGGTGCCAAGCCCCTTGCTGAATACTTACCTATGTGATCACACTTGATCTTCTCCATCAATCCAAAGGCGAAAAGCCCAGCATTACTCTCATTTTACAGATAGAAACTGAGGCTACGGGAAGTTACATTTGCCCAGAGTCACGCCACTAGTAACTGGGAGAGCCGGGATTCAAAGCCGCAGTCTGGCTCC